ATTCTTTATAAAGACATGAAATAGTAATCAACTTCATTACTAATCAAGGAAATGAAAGTTTACATCACAAGAAGATACTAATATATACCTACCAGAATGGCAAGAAATAAAAGTCTGCCAAGACCAAATGATGGGGAGAGAGCAACGGAAGTCTCATCCACTATTGATGGGACTGTAAACTGGTAAAAATGCTTTACAAATCAACAACATTAAAAGCAACATTGGCCTTAACTATAAAGTTAAATATTCACACCTCCAAAACCTAGCCACAACAACCCAGGTATATAGACTAGAAAAGGCCTCGCAGGAAATGTGCCTTGCAAACACGTTAAATAATGGTTACTATTATCATTGGCTATGATAATCTTTAACTAGAAACAACCCAAACTCCATCAAGAGAAGAGCAAATAACTATTAATTGTGGAATACCCAAACTAAAACACTATCCTGCAATGAAAATGAACAAAATTACATTTATATGCTTCATCATGGCTAAATTCACAACTATAAGAGTGAGTAAAATAAACAAGTCACAAAAGAATTCATATAGAATGATTCCATTTTTATAAAGCTCAAAAAATAAAAGTTCAAATTAAATAATATATGGCCTAGGGATACAGATATAAATAGCAGAATACAATCCTGAAAATAATTATCCCTAAATTCAGGATAAAGGTTACATCTAGGAGAAAGGTAGGAGGATGCAATTGGGAGGGGCATAGTCCTAGTTCTCATCCTCAGTGGTGATTACACAGGTGCTAGCTGTATATTTCTCCTGAGAAGTGCTCCTGTGTCCTAAATGCTCTTCTGTGTGCATGATATAACCAATAAGGACTACATATAATGAAAAACACAACAAAATTTCAAAAAAATAGAAAATTTTCAAAAACAAAAATCAATGCAATTAAAAGCTAATTCTGTGAAAAGTCAATAAAATGATAAACCTCAAGTCAGACTGATCGAAAAGAGAAGATATACATTATCAATATCAGGAGAACAATACCACAGATTCTACAAACACTGAAAAATAATAAGGAATTATTATGAAAAAACTTTATTGTCAGAAATTTGATAGTTCAGATGAGATAAATTCCTTCAAGGCCACAAACCACCAAAGTTCACTAAAGAAGAAAAGGACAGTCTTGATAATCTTATAATTATTAAAATTGAATTTGTAGTTCAAAACCTACCCTCAAAAAAAAAAAAAAAAAAAAACTAGGCCCAGATGCCTTCTCTGGTGAAGTCTACAAAACATTTAAGAAGAAACAATGCTAATCCTATGTAAAAATTTTCAGAAAATAGACGAGGAGGAAACATTTCCCAATTCATTTTATGAAGCCAGCATAACCCTAATGTCAAAACTAGCCCCAAACAGTATGAGTGAAGAAAACTACAGATAATTATGACATATAAACAGATGTAAAATACTCAAAATATGCGTAAAAATAATTAGCAATATATTTAAAGAATAATAGGTCACGATCAAGTGGGGTTTACACCAGGAATGAAAGGCTAGTCCAATATTTGCAAATCAATGTAATCTACCAAATTAACAGTCTCAAGGAGAAAAATCACTATCACATCAATTGATGTAGAAAAAGCATTTGCAACATTCAACATTTACTCATGATAAAAACTCATAAAACCAAAATTAAAAGGAAAAAAATCAACCATTATTATTAGGCCATCTATGAAAAACCCTATAAATAAAAAATTATACCTAATGGTGAGAAAGTGAATGCTTCTGTCCTAAGATCAGGAACAAGGCAAGAATGTCATTCTCCCTACTACTAGTCAACATTATACCAAAGATACTAGCCAGTACAATGAGGCAAAGAAACAAAAAAAAGTAAAAGACATCAAGATTGGAAAGGAAGAAAAAAAACTGTCTTTATTTAAAACTACATGATTGTTTACATAGAACATGCAAAACTATCTATAAAAGAGCTACAAGTATTAATACGTAAGCTGAGGAAGGTCCTGGGATACAGGATCAATATAAAAAATCAATTATATTTCTATAAAACATCATTGAACAATGGGAAAATGAAATACAAAAACATACCATTTATAATATAAGAACATAAAACACAGAGGGATGAATTAAACAATGTGCAAGACCTTTGCATTATGAACTATAAAATATTACTAAGACAAATTTTAAAAGACATAAATACATAGAGATACACCATGTTCATGAATTAGAAGGCTCAATATTTTCAGTATATAAATGATGAACAGATTCAATGCAATCCCATACAAAATCACTACAGGCTTTTGTGTGCAAATTCCCAAGCTGCTTCTAAGATTTATATGAAAATACCAAGGACCTAGAATAGCCAAAATATCATGAAAAGGAAGAACATGGGACTGCAAACTAGTACAACCTCTGTGGAAAGTAATATGGAGATACCTCAAAGAGCTACAAGTAGAACTTGTAGTTCTACAAGTAGAACATTTGCTTCAGCAATCCCATTACTGGGCATCTACCCAAAAGAACAAAAGACATTCTATAAAAAAGACATCTGCACTCAAATGTTTATAGCAGCACAATTCACAATTGCAAAGATATGGAAACAACCCAAGTGCCCATCAATACACGAGTGGATGAATAAAATGTGTTGTATGCATACCATGGAGTTCTCAGCCACAAAAAACAATGGTGATATAGCATCTCTTGTATTATCCTGGATAGAGCTGGAACTGATTCTACTAAGTGAAGTAACCCAAGAATGGAAAAACAAGGACCACATGTACTCACCATCAAATTGGTTTTAACTGATCAATACTTAAATGGACATACAGTAGTAACATTCATTGGGTGTTGGGCAGGTGGGAGGGGGAGGAGGGGATGGGTATATACACACCTAATGGGTGCAGTGCATACCATCTGGGGGATGGACACACTTGAAGCTCTGACTTGGGTTGGGCAAAGGCAATATACATAACCTAAATATTTGTACCCCCATAATATGCTGAAATAAAAAAAAAATTAAAAAGGAAGAACAAAATTGAAAGATTCACACTACCTGATTTGAACACTTAATATAAGGTTACAGAAACTAAACAGTGGGTTATTGGCATATAGAATGACACATCTGTGTTCAATTGTTTTTGACAAGAGTGCCAAGGTAAGCCATGGAGAAACAACAGTCTTTTCAAAAATGCTGCTGACTGCATGTACTACTAGTCATCTAGAAATAAGTTTAAAGTAAAGCAACTTGAAACTCTACACAGGGCTTGTTTTCTAAAGAAGAAGTATTGTTTAGAGGAGCAAAATTATAAGCCCTACCCATATGTGTTGTAAAACTGTTTTGAAAAGTGGGGCTTGTGAATAGAAATGTAGTGCCCAAGTCACAATCCACTTAAAACTTGTAACAAATACAGATTAAGTTAAAAAAAAATGCTGCTGGAACAATTGGATATGCATATGCAAAAAAATTGACACTCACACTGGATTAAAAAACTTAATTCATTATTTGTCATAGGCCTAAACATAAGCAGCTAAAATTATAAATCTTCTGAAAGAAAACATATGAGAAAATCTTTGTTACCCTGGGTTAGAGATTTGTTAAATAGGACATAAAAAGCATGAACCATAGAAGAACTTGATAAATTGGGCTTTATCAAAATTAAAAACATCTATTCTTCAAAGCAAACTGTTAAGAAAAAAAAGTCATGGCCTGGAAGGAAATACTTAGAAAACACATAGCTGACAAAAGACTTGCATCAAGAATATATAAAGAACTCTTACAATAACAAACAAAATGGCAAAAGATTACAACAATTCACCAAAGAAGATATACAGACGGCAAATAAGAACATGAAAAGATGCTCAACAGTAATCATCATTAGAGAAATGCAAATTAAAATCACAATGAGATCCCTTTACTTACCTACTAGCAAGAAAGACTCACACTTACCATACCAAGTGCTGGCATGAATGAGAAACACCTAGAACTCTTACACATGGGTGACAGGAAAACAAAATAGTTCACCTACATTGGAAAACAGTTTGATAGTGTCTTATGAAGTATTCTACACTGGGAATAAAGTCTTCTCAAGTTAATTTATTTTCTGAATAAATAAAGAGATAACACAGAACAAGAGTTGAGTGGGAAGGAAGTACTGATAAGAGGAAGAATCTGATAACAGGCAGTTTATCAAGTCAGATTTGTAAGAGTTTGAGAAGATATAAGAAGAGGAAACAGAAAATGGTATGAAGGTTTACAGCAGGCATCCTCAAACTATGGCCTGCGGGCCACATGCGGGTATTTTTGCCCATTTGTTTTTTAACTTCAAAATAAGATATGTGCAGTGTGCATAGGAATTTGCTCATTTTTTTAAAAAACTATAGTCAGGACCTCCAATGGTCTGAGAGAGAGTGAACTGGTCCCCTGTTTAAAAAGTTTGAGGACCCGTGGTTTGCAGTGTTCACCACAAGGTGAGGGAAGTCAAATGAGAACACGGTAGATACCTGGTCAGGTAGAGTTAAAGGTAACTAGCAAAGCTTTGTTATCTATATCAACTCCAATAAACCAGGTAGAATAATTTCCCTGAGGTTAAAAAAAAAAGACTTCAAATTTCAGACTGAAAGGGCCCAAAGTATGCACGATAAAGAGGAAACACCAACACTTACATCTATTCTGGTGGAAATACAAAAGCCCAAGAATGGGGAGAAAAAGTCCTAAAAGCTTCCAGAAAAGAGGGAGGAAAGAAATGAGAACGGGTCTGGCACTTCTTGCTAGCAAGCCAGGAGGCTGGAAGGTAGAAATGGGATCTAAGAACAGGAGTGGCCACACCGTCTGAATGCCAAGCAAAGTGCACAGCAACTGGAAAAGGCTGCCGGGGGAGGCCTCATTTGGCTATGACAACAGCGCATGTCATCAGACCCCAGGCACAGCCTCAAGTCTGGGGGCTCTGAGAACGGCTCCTGGGCACCTCCCAGAGGCCAAGCTCTCACTGCCCAGGCTAGTTCCCCTTTCCCTGGCCCGACTCACCTGGACAGCTCTGCACTGGGGTCCCTCTTTCTGCCATCCAGGACTCTTCTCCTGGTCCCAACCTGAAGATCACATCTGGTTGGGCAACTAGATACCCTGTTCAAGGGAAATGACATAGAACTTTGTTATGAATGCTGAAGGCATTTTTGAAGGTCAATGATTCCTCCTTGCCTGCAGGCTGAAGATGGCACAGTCTCGGGGACTGCCCCATGCACATAGTAATTTGCCCCTCAGTACAGAACATTCACCTGGCAGGTGAAGACACAAACATCCTGTCCAGCATCCAAATGGGACCGCGAATACTTGATAGTGGGCCTTAAGCCTAAACTCATTGAGGGTTTCCAACACCTGAGCTTGTAGCAGCAGCCGCAGCAGCAGCTCAAAAAGACACTACTGCCGGGTGTGGTGGCTCACTCCTGTAATCCTAGCACTCTGGGAGGCTGAGGCGGGAGGATCGTTTGAGCTCAGGAGTTTGAGACCAGCCTGAGCAAAAGCGAGACCCGTCTGCTACTGAAAAAAAAAATATAGAAATTAAGCTGGAAACTAAAAAAAAAAAGAAAAAAACTATATATAAATAAAATTGCCACGCATGGTGGCACGTGTGCCTGTAGCTCCCAGCTAGTCGGGAGGCCTGAGGCAGCGGATGCTGTGACCAGGATTGAGTCTTGACTAAGCTGAGTGCCACGGCACTTCTAGTCCAGCAACAGAGTGGAGTACTCTGTCTTCAAAAAGAAAAGACACTCTGGGGTGCGTTCTACATCAACTGTGGAGCAGTCCCTACCCACAGACACAGGTGGCGTAGTTCCTCAAGCATGACATCCATGTAGAGGTTCTTTGGAGAGTCCAGCTGCTGCCATTCCTCAAGGTGGATAGTCCCACAAACACGTCGTTGAGAAGGTCAATGTCCTGTACGGCACATTCTCTCTTTAGCACAAGGGATCAGCGGCCTGGGACTGGGACATGGACACCTCACGCACATGAGGGCTTACTCTGTGACATTCTAAGTCTTTTAACATGTGCTGGGGGAAGATTTTAATCCTCTCCACCACCCTAGGAGAACTTGATTAGGTGAAGAACATGAGGCGCACAGAGTCTGACTAACCAGCCCAGGTCACACCAGCTTAGGAGTAGGGAAAATCCATGCGGTCACTATTTTGGCCCAGTAGTATCATCACATAGAGTATTCATTAATAAATTTTTAAAATTGTAATAGGAAGAAACAGAATAGGCCTATTAGAAATATCTTTTTTACAAACCCCCCTGGGGGAAATTTCCATTTATCTTTCACCCACAGTTTTATTGAATAGAACAAGCTGGTAAAGTCCTGCGGATATGAAAAATTACAAAACCAAAAGAACAAAAACAAATGCCTCTTGAACTCCGAGAGTCCAGTTGGTAGAGGACATAAAACAACGCTTACAAACCACAGATGGACGAGAGGGACGGGAGGGGGCCGCCTTACAGTGGCAATGACAGATGCAGATATAGGACGGGTCCAGGGGCCCACGAGAGGAGGAAGTGAATTCTTGTGGGCTGACAGAGCGGGCTTCCCAGATACAGAGCTAAACAAACCCATTCTAAACATAGCTAATCAATCATGACAACAGTCTAACCAAGCTCATCAATCATGAGACAAGAACAGGAAATCAGAAGGGTCGTGGCTTGGGCAGTGACTGAGGCAAGGACAAAGGTCTGTGTGTTCTTTGTCACCACCACAACAGAACTCACCTCTAGAAGTGCTAATTTCTATCAGAAGACCCAATAAACCAACTGGGTGCGAGTGGCCCACGCGTAATCTAGCACTTCTGGGAGGCTGAGGTGGAGCATCACTTTGAGGCGAAGTTTAAGACCAGCCTGGGCTGGGCCACTGTGCTTAATCCTGCACTCTGGTAGTCAAGGTGGGAGGATCACTTGAGCTCGGAGTTCAAGAACAAGACTGAGCAAGAGTGAGACCCTGTCTCTACTAAAAATAGAAAAAATTAGTTGGCACAGTGGCGCTGGCTTGTAGTCCCAGCTACTCCGGGAGCTGAGGCATGGAGGATCGCTGAAGCCTAGGAGTTTGAGGTTGCAGTGGAGCTATGATACATCACTGCATGTCCAGCCGTAGGCATCAGAGTGAGCTCCGTCCTTAAAAAGGCCAATAACAGCCACCTGATTGGCTCGAAACCCCATACTGTTATGTTTACACTTGGTGGTCGTTAAATTCAAAAGACACTTTGTTACCCAAAGGTCAAATTGGGAGACGAAAACCGATTACCAGAGGTAGTGGACATGCAGATTTCTCCGGCAAGGAGGGCTTCTCAGAAGGAGCTGACCCCTCCACACACCATTCACCAATTATAGATGAGGTGCTAGAAGCCCTAAAACTATAAATGCACACACCTCTGGACTAGAATTTCTCATCTCTAGAAAGGTTATCTTACAGACGAGAATAGTACTAAAGAGCACACAATGGGAATGTATGTGGATATTCATGACTATGTTTTATCAGCATCAAGAATGACTGTGCTGTTCCTCATATGTGAAGGGAGCAGTGATGATACGTGAATGTGAGACACATCCTTTAATGGCTTTTGTATTAAATGGGGGCACTTCCGCGTCTCCCAACATGTCCCGCTTTGACCACCAGCACATTTGTGAAAAAGGTTCACGAGGATAAGGGTGTAATTTTATAGCTATGGAAAACAAAGATTTGCCTCTGTTGGAAGCTAATTAGCCCATACAGATGGTGAACCTTTATAGCTTGGGCCCTTAATTGCCATTCTACTCTAATCAAAGAACTCCTTCTAAAAAATATTTATAGTTTATAACTATACACAGTTATACATAGATGCATATTTTCCCCAGCTGGCCTAGAGATTTATTTGTTTGTAAATGCCTGTATAGACTTGTTTTTCCTTTCTTTACTTTATCCTGATTTGGAATTTTTTTTTTTTTTTTGGATGGATTTATGCTATCTTGAGCAAGTATGAAAAATAATACTCCCGGTAGCGTAAGCTACCCCTTCTCTGCTGTAACTTTGTGGCCTGTGCTGTCATGGGACATAGGAATGGGCAGCCATCACCACTGCATTCCATTGGACTCATGCACCTCCTGAATGGTTTTGTTTTTCTCGGGGTTTGAGAGTTTTGTTTGTTTGTTTGTTTGCTATTTTCCAGAGTGTGGAAATCTACAGTGGCAGAAAGGCTTTAACCCTGCCAATTGATTTGAAATACTTTCCCCTGCGCAGGGCCGTTTGCATCCTGCCCATGCTGGCGTTATAATTTTGTACTGCGTTACAATAAAGAAGTTCCGCTTTTCCATTAGAAAAAAAAAAAAGACCTAGAAAATATCCTAAATGTACATCCCTGGCAGAAAGGTAAATAAAAATATATGGTATTTCCAGCTGGTGGAATATGAGCCCAGCATAACTGTAAATGAGGTACCCATACAGTTTTCAAAATTGAGTGATTTTTTGTCCCCATGTTAGTAGCAAATTTTTCATTGTCATGACAAGGGAGGTGGGTGGAGTATTGGCAGCTAGAGGGCAGAGGCCAGCAATGTTGTTGTAACATCCCTCCAATGCACAAGGCAGCTGTCTACAACAAACCCAATTACCTGCCCCAATATGTCAGTAGGTTAAAAAACTTGGAGTAGACTCAGTATTTGGTAAAATGGAATGATCATTAAACCTATGACCAGTAATGTGCACCTTAATTTGTTCACAAGAAAAAAAAAAAAAGAAAGAAGGAAAAAAGATTCATATAGCTAGACAAATATGTATGCATGATATCTGGAAGAATGTATAAATAAAACTGAAGGAGGAGAAGACTTGGGCATGGAGTGAGAGGGAGAATTATTTTTCTCCTTTGTTGAAAAAGCTTTTGTTTGGCTGGGCACAGTGTCACCCCCATAATCCTAGCACTTTGGGAAGGCCCTACGACAGAGCATTGCTTGAGGCCAGAGTTCAAGACCAGCCTGGCAACATACGTGGAAACCCCTCCGAATTTTTGGCATCTATATTTTAAGTAAAAGTGGTCCTATAATTTCTTTTTTGCAGTATCTTTCATCAAATTTAAGGTATGTGGATTTAAATAAAATGAATGGATTCTCTTTGTCTTTTGTTGAGTCTAGAAACCTTAAATGTACAAATTACCTGGTCCTGTACAATTTTGTGAAAAGCATAATTAGCATAGACTTAGAGAAAGGCATTTAAAGGAATTATTGTAAGGAAAAGAAGAAAAATGAGGTAAGCCCAAAGGGATAAGTAGTGAAGTTGTCTTTCTTTTCCTCTTTGTTCTCTCTCTATCTCTCTCTCTCTGTCTGTCTCTCTGAGGGGAAAGATTAAGGAACCTGCAGTAGATGACACGCTGAAGATGACACAAGAGAAACAGAGGAAATTGACCAGATTTTTTTTCAAGGCTACAGCATAGATTCCTAAGCTGCCTCTGCCTTCAAGTTCATTTGGAAAAAAATAGGAGTAATTAAGGAACTCACCTGGGAACATAGCCATCCTGCTCTCCCTGTAAAAAGACAGAAGATTACAAAAGCAGAATTAGGAGGGTTGAGATCAGTGAGTACCAGACATAAGACCATAATTACTCACCTGATAATAATCCCTTGCACATGGGGGTGAAATGAATCTGGAAAACATGGCCTGAATAGCTACAGCCTGTTCCCATAGGATTTTAACTAAGGATCATGTGCATTTTGCACCCATGAAATTTTGTTTTCGTTACTGGAAAGATGTATGACTTATGTATGACTAAAGGCATCTACTTCAGAAATGATTAACAACCTTGGTACCTTCGTTATCTCCAGAATTCTAGTCCTAAAAATTTTGTCATAAAAAAACACAGATAATGTGCAAAGCTGAAAGGATACTAAACTGTAGTCATTCCATCATTCAAACTTTAGAATCACCTGATATAAAAGAAATCAAA